CTCTCTCCTAGAAATAAAAAAAAAAAAAAAAAAAATTAAAAAAAAAAATATAGTGTTTAGGCCTGATAAAATTTGCCTGCAATTCAGATAGGGAGAGAAAGGGAAGTAGAGAAGAGCGAGTCAGTAAGTGTAAGGTAAGCACAAAAAAATGTGCTACTCAAGACATTGGTCCTAAAATATCTCCTAGGTCAGAAGGGATTTCTGTTGAGGAAATACTAATATACTAAGTCTCTTTTTTAAGACTGAGGAAGTTCTGCTCTAAGATCACCCATTTATTTAATATGGCATTTTCCAAACATGTGACCATGGAGCAAAGTATTTGAGGCTGAATGGTCAAAGTAGAAATGACTAGTCAGGTACAGACTGAGTAGGAAAGGAAGTGCAACCAGAAATGGGTTATCAAGAAAATACAAATCACTCTGAGATCAAGAAAGTGCTTCAGAGGGACGCTTGGGTGGTGCAGTCGGTTGGGTGTCGACTTTGGCTCAGGTCATGATCTCACAGTTCCGTGGGTTCGAGCCCTGCGTCGGGCTCTGTGCTGACAGCCAGCTCGGAGCCTGGAGCCTGTTTCAGATTACGGGTCTCCCTCTCTCACCTCTCCTGCTCACATTGTCTCTTTCTTTCTCTCAGAAATAAATAAAACATTAAAAAAAATTTTTTTTTTTTAAAAAAGAAAGTGCTTCAGAGAGAGGTAGAAGGTAGAAGTTGTGGTTAGAGAGAGTGCTTGGGCATTTTAAGAGTTGAAAGGTGGACCTTTACTAAATTGTTTCAACAGCGGTTGTTTTTGCCAAACTGGAGGGATGGACTAAAGACGAGTGGAGGGTGAAGGTTATGTGTTGAGTAGCTTAACTGTGAATGTCGAAATGTTGAAATCTAGGATGGGCTGAATGAGGAAAATCTTGTGAGATATTAGGGATTGTTGACCTGGATGTAATTAGATTTTGAAAAGAATTGTTGGAAGAGGGTGGTATAACAGATGCTATGTCCTTCAAAAGGTTTTATTTATTTATTTATTTAATAGTTAATTTATTTTTGAGACAGAGCATGAGTGGGGGAGGGGCAGAGAAAGAGGAAGACGCAGAATCCGAAATAGGCTCCAGGCTCTGAGCTGTTAGCACAGAGCCTGATGTGGGGTTCAAACCCACGAACCATGAGATCTGACCTGAGCCAAAGTTGGACGCTTAACCAACTGAGCCATCCAGGCACCCCAGAAAGGTTTTATTTTAAAGGTTGGATTCAGATGAGCAGTGACCAGAGGTGAGGAAATAGGCTGCACAGAGGCCAGAACTGTTCTTAATGTCAAGATTTCTTTTCTTTTCTTTTGAAAGAATGCTTTCCTATTTTTAAATATATACCTTTTAGAATATCATAACTATCTTAGATAACAACATACAATTTCACATCTCTATATAATATATACCTATACATTTATTACATAATATGTATATAATATTTGTACATATATATTATATCTATATAGGATACATATCTAATAGCATTATATAAAGATACCTTTTCAAGCCTTATGGTGCATGTTTGAAGTTGCTAAGTACGGTAATGCATAACAGAATCAACACTGTGATAAATTTTACAAGGAGAGGTTAGCTTCTTGAGAGTTTTAGAATATTAAAGTACTTTATTTACTTGGTTTTGTCCATTAGTTTAAGTGCTTCTTTCAACAGTGCTTGCTCTCTGCTACAATAGTCCCCCCTCTGCATATCTTCTCTACTATATTTTTATAAGCCTCACAATTTGCTAGCTTTTGCAACTCAGGACAGATTAGTGGAGTTTACCTGCATGCACTGCAGAGTAGTATTTTTTTATTTCACTGGTTGTGAAGCATTTTTATATATTTCATCTTAGATGATCCCTTAAATTTTAAGGTAGATTGAGCAGATAATATTCTCATTTAACAAATGTAAAACAGAAGCTATTTATATGATTAGTCATACATTTTCTTCTTCAAGACATTTCCGAAAAGGAGAGAGACATCATGTTCTTTGCAACAGTTCCTTGCAGATTCTCAGTTCTGTATGTAGACAAATGGAAGTGATTTCCTCAACATTCTACATGCTATCTGAAGCATTCATTCCACCATCTGCAATGGTCAATTGGTTTAATCATCCTTATGTATAACCAATTTTTTAAATTTAATACCGGTAAGAGAGATACTATCATACACATACTTTTCTTCTTAATGTGGTCTTAAGATAGATTTCATTAGATAAATATAGTACATTTATTATGATATATTAGAGGCCATGAGGCCATTTAACCTAACTTTCTCATTTTATACAAGAGGAAGCTTATCTTAATCTTAGGTGCCTGGGGAGCCACAGTTCTATGTGATAGAGCTGGGGCTTGAACTTAAACTATATGAAACAAATTCTAGTGCCTTTTCTGCTAAGCTATCTTATCTTTTAATGAAAACCATTACAACAAAATTTGACTTGGTAACTCTGAACCTAAGCTGCTTATCATGACTTACTGGTAGAAGGGGATGTTGACACTAACATACATACACACTATATTTTGTGAATTACAGGGCAGTGCTCTATGACCAGTTAATATAAGAGGGAGGATATTATAAATTTATATTTTTATTTATTTTGAATGAAGTAATGACTTAATTTTTTTTCTTCTTTGAGATAATTGTTTTTAAGTGCTTTCTCTTTAATGTGGTTTCCTCTTTTATGTCTTTTAGAAATAAAGATTTTTTTTTTCCCTTTAAAGACAATTTAAACATAATTCCCTTTAAAGACAATTTAAACTTGTCCCAGGAGTTGGAATTTATTATATGTTAGTATTGTAGTTGCTCTTACAGTAAAAAATGGAAGATGATTTGATTCTTAGGTATAGTGAAGAAGTAATTCATGTAGACTATTAGCTTTATAAGAATAATGGTTGTGTTATTTCATGCTTTTGTCACTATTACTTGGTATGTGCTTGGCAAGTAGTGGATGCTCTCATAGGCAGTCACGTTATTTCCATGGTTTGAATTTATTTTTCTCAATAGTTAATTTTTATTAAATTTTGTTTTGTCATCTATTTAACAAGGAGATACTGAAATATACTCTCAAGCAAATAAAATATGTGATCTTTTTTAAGATTTTGTATTAATGAATTTTTAAATCAGTGCTTAGAATTTAAAAGAGTGTATGAAAACTATAAATAAGCCAGCTTAATAGATTACACATCATGTGGCATCACTTTGACATTATATATACATCCTAATCTTAACGTAGGTAATGGATTCTATCCAGCAACTGCCTCAACTTTTTCGATAGTTAGTGGAATTAAGTCTCTGTAAAAGAGGTTGCTCTCCCTAAATAAACTAACATGTGGTATTGAAGCAGGACAAATCAGGCAAATCTTAGCTTTGCTTTTGTAGTGGCCACTGCTTAATTGACACCATAGAGACGTTGCCTCCATCTGAGATGACAGATACTTACTATCTACCATTAAAATAAGGTAGTTGAGTATTAAGACAATGAGAGAACAAAAACACAGCCATTTTTCTGGTACTGTTTGATTGTATTCTCAAAAATGTCTATTTTGATTCTCCTGTTCGTTTTCTGTGAACTCACTAAATGCTCCGGAACAAATTATATGAAGTCCTAATTGTACTTTTTTCATGAGTTTATTTAGGTTACTTCTTTAAAAAATGGCTTTCTATTTGTATTTCATGTGATAAAACAATCAGTAAAATATTCATCAGAAAATATGTTTAAGATACAGGTTCAAGTATCATTTTTAGAAAATTACAGCTATGAAAATAAATTTAGATTTGATGATTGGCTAGATAATAAAATGACAAATTGACTCAGTTATGTAGAATTCCAAAGAACATAGTTGTTGTTTTTTTAATCAATTTAGTAACAAAATGTGTTATATGAAAATGTGTGATAGATGTATTAACTTTTGATTGAGTAAAAGTTTCAGATCCTTGTTTCTTATTTAAAGAATTGTGCTCTTAGGTCAGAAATCTCAATTTTAATATCTCCATTGAATCTTAATATAATATTGTATGTGTAAAATAATGAACAATTCATATAATAAAAGCAGCATATTAACTAGATAATTTTTTCTTTAAAGCATTATACTTCCTGTTGTCTGGTATTAAGCAGAACAAGATTCTTTATATCTTAGACTCCCTAGATCATCTTAGGAAGTCATCTCACTGATCACCAGTGTTACATCTTAATGCTTTGAGGATTAATAGTATATAATATTAACCTTAAACTTTTTTTTAAGGTTTGTTTACTTATTTTGAGAGAGACAGAGAGTACGAGCAGGGGAGGGTCAGAGAGTGAGGGAGAATCCCAAGCAGCCTCTGTGTGGACAGTGTACAAAACTCCAACTCACAAAAACCTGAGATCATGACCTGAGCCGATATCAAGAGTCAGACACTTGGTTAAGTGCACCCAGGTGCCCTAAGAGAAACTAGGTTTTTAAAGTTTGGTAATTTACAGTAGAGATAGCCTATAAGTTTAGGGACTATAACAAATTGGTTTGGTTACAGTTAAAGAAAACTAGATATTTCCAGCAATATATTTTTGGTTATCCTTAAATCATGACTTCAGTATCTGGCATGACCTTTTTGCCACTGACAACTTGTGGTTATCTTGTGCCAATTTTTATCAATAATATTGCTTATTCCAAAATGAAACAAGACATTTCCACAAGAACTCACAACTTACATGTGAAAGCAAGGGAAGGTATTAATATTTGCAACTTTCATAATTTTAGCAAAGAATTTATTGATTAAATTATTTCTGTTTAAGGGTTACCTGGGTGGCTCAGTCAGTTAAGTGTCTGACTTCAGCTCAGGTCATGATCTCACCATGGATCCAAGCCCAGCATCGAGCTCTGTGCTGACATCTCAGTCTGGAGCTTGCTTCTGATTCTGTGTCTCCCACTGTCTCTACCTCCCTCCCACTCACACTTTATCTCTCTCTCAAAAATAAATAAACATTAAAAAAAATTCTTTTCTGTTTCAGAAAATGGAAGTGTCCAAGTTGGAGAATTGTTACCGTGCAAGATTTGTGGAAGAACATTCTTTCCAGTGGCATTAGTGAGTACCTTTTTCCTTTGGGTTATGGCAGATCTGTAATTGTTTGATACTTCAGACCAACCATTACAGAAAGAACCTCTTTGGGATAATTTAAAGAGATACTGACCAGTGTTCTTTGTTCAAGAGTATCAGTTCCATCTATGTATTTCTTCCAGGATGGTCTCTTTCCTTTAGAGTTTGGTCTTCAGAACTACTGTGCTAAAGTGTTCCTCTCTAGGAATATAAAGAAAAACAAAACAAAAACTCTGAGAAATACATAATAATATATTTAAAGATAAAGAATGATATGATGTCTGGGTTTTGCTTTAAAGTACTTCAGGGAAAAAAGCTAGTATAAATGACAAGATTGCTGAATTGTTGGTAATTGTTGATGAGGAAAGAGGAGTTCATGACACTGTTCTCTTAATTCTTAAATATATTTGAAATATTCCAAAGAAAAATTGTTTTCAGTTAAAAGTGGTAATTTTAGATAGCTGATATACACAAATAGAAGCACTTTTAATTGATTTTAATATAAAATAGCCAACTAACTAGAGAATAAGGGGGAAATGCCTATGTACATTGTTTTTGTACTTTAAATATAAATATACATTTATTAATATTTTGATGTAGATAAAGGCTTTTCTTTGAATACAGATCTACTGACTAGAGTTCTGCCACAATCTAGAATGCCTGTTACTATTTCTAGTTTGTTTCTTTAAAGCAAAATGAGGATTTAATGATCCAAAATGTCAGACAATGGAGTAGTTTTAAATAATAACAACTATAACAGCTTTTTTTCCTTTGTCCTTTAAAAACGTCTTGCCCACACTTAACCCAGTGATTCTTTTTTCTTGTTTCTGTTGTCAATTCACTGTTTTTCAAACCTTTTTCAAAGCATTAAGCTCAGTTTATATAGGAAAAAGTTGCTCTTTTTGCCATTTATTTAATTAAATAATCACTGTTTGGGAATAAGCACTATATACTTTTGACATATACAACACAAGTGAGCATAGACATCTATTAGGAAGTTGCCTGTTAGCTACACTTTTATTTTTTATACATATTTAACAAATTTTTATTCCAATAGCTATAATTACAGTGCTTGTTAAAAATGAAAACTGAAAATATGTACGTAGAACAATTGATTTCTAATAGTGTATTGAAAATTTAAGAGGCTCCATGATACCAAACCAGCCAGTTTTGTCTGAGGTTTCCTCTTTTCTCAGATCAAGTTCGACAGTTCTAGTTTTTTCAGTGTTTATCAAAATACTGAAGGAAAAAAACGTGCATATAGTGCACTGATGTCATTTGTTAACAGGTTTTATTTAGGGGAGGGGGAATGATTATTTATCCATTAGGTTAACTGGAGTCAGTTATGAGAGATTCCATTGTAATGTCCTTAAAAATGAATACATTAAATATTGAGTGAATGAGTTGACAGCCGTATTAAAACAAAACAAAACCTATAGAAGTGGAAGGACAAACAGCTCAAGAAAAATCCTTGGGAAAGAATGGCAGAAAACTTGAGTTCCAGAAGGGAAGAAATAGATGACTGTGGAGGAAGGACACAAATCAGACCACTGTGTCCTACCATTTTGCATTAACTTCACATTAACATACTACTATTATGTTAATAACTTTAGTAGACCAGACTACTACTATTGTGTTAACTTTTTGTAATCCTCACACTAATGCAGTCTGTTTACATTCTTTTTCTAGTATCAATTTTCATGTATTTAGTGAAGTAGGTAACTTTTTTTTTTCACTTAAATAGCTACAATTTGGTTATATTACTTTTCCTTATTCATAGCAGTGTGAAAACTAGAGTATGCAATAACTCTTAATAAAATTTTGGAAGAGAATTTTTCTATACTTTCTTGTATGTAGTATTTATACTTGAGAAAGTTATAGCATGCATCAAATATACTTTTTAACAATTTTAGTTAAAGCAAAATATGTCTTATTCATGTTTTATTTATTTATTTATGTAATGTCTGTTTTATTTCATCTTCCAGTTTTTAAATTGGTCTCCGATGGCAATTTAAAGTTTTATAGAATTCTCTTATATAGAAAGGAAAATGATACATTGTATTTATTCATCTTGACAGAAAAAACATGGACCCATTTGCCAGAAAACTGCCACTAAAAAACGGAAGACTTTTGATTCAAGCAGACAAAGAGCTGAAGGAACTGATATTCCAACAGTAAAGCCTCTTAAGCCTAGGGTAATTACATAGCTTTTTGAATAGTATGAACTTTGCTGCTCTGTATATTGAAAAAGAAATTGTAATTATCTGTTGTGCTAAGATTTAAAATTAAGGAGAATTCTGATTCATGTTTTCAGTTTAGAAATGATCAGAAAATTGTTTATTTTAAACTTCTGCAAAGAGAAAACCAAACTACTCTCTCAAAACCTATTATAGTAAGGTTTTTATAGCATTGGAAAGCCGAGATAGATAGATAACTATCTATGGTTTATTGAAATTTTTGGAGGCAGTGGAAGATAGTGGGTATGAAAATGAAAGCTGGCTCAAGAGCAGACTGCCTGGATTTAACCCTTACTCTGTTACTTAATCTGTAAAGTGGTGATTGTAATGGTAGTATCTATCTTGTGGGGTTCTTAGGAGGATTACATTGAGTTTACCCATGATAATCTCTCAAAAACTGTTAGTTATCCTATTACTTTTTAAAGGAGAAGGGTTCCAAGAGTGAAAAAATTAATCCTCAGATAAATTTTTACAAAGTAAAAACCATTGCTTTACATTAAGCAGTTTAATTTCTTGGTACTTAAAATTGTGGTTTATGGAATAGTAATATCATCACTATTTGAGAACTTGTTAGAAATGCAGAATCTCAGGTTCCACCCAGATATACTGAATTAGAATCCGCATTTTAACAAGATCCTTGGGTGAGACATATTCACGTTAAAGTTTGAAAATCAATGTATTAGGACTTTTTTCCCCTTCCTGTTTTCATAATTCTTTCCTTGTCCATGTATTTTGTGAATTTGACTATGATATCCCTTGGTAATGGTCGGTTTTTGTTGAATCTAATGGGAGTTCTCTGTCTGTCTCCTTCCTTTTTGATGTCTGTCTCCTTCCCCAGATTAGGAACATTTTCTGCTATAATTTGCTCACATAAACTTTCGGCCCTTTTCTCTCTCTTCATCTTCTGGGACTCCTGTGATGCGTATATTATTCCTTTTTAATTAGCCACTGAGTTCTCTAAGTCTTATATTGTGATCTTTTACCTTTGCTTCCCTCTTTTTCCCTGCTTCCTTATTCTTCATAATTTTATCTTCTATATCGCTGATTTGCAGATCTGCTTTGTCCGTCCTTGCTCTTGTGGCATCCAAGATTGCTTCTCGGTTATAGCATTTTTTATTTTGTCTTAACCAAATTTTATTTCTCTTATCCCTGCAGAAAGGAATTCTATGCTTTTTCAACTGCAGCTGGTATTCTTATTATTGTGGTTCTGAATTCTAGTTCAGACATATTGCTTATACCTCTGTTGATTAAGCCCCTGGCTGAAATTTCTTCCTGTTCTTTCTTTTGGGGTGAATTATTTTTGTTTTGTCATTTTGGAGGAAGAAAAAAATTAATAAAATAAAAAATTAAAATTAAAAACAAAACAAAATATCAAATAAAGAAGGCTAGATCCAAGATGTGTTTTGTTCTGCTTGTTGAAAGAAGCTTGCTAGAATAGAGAAAGAAAGGGAAAGGAAAGAAAACCAAAGCTAAAAAAATTTTTTAATTAAAAAGAATAATAGAATAAAATGAAATAAGATGAAATATAATAAAATATTTTAAAAGATAAATAAAATAAAAATAAATTTTTCCCTTTATCCAAGAAAGAGGAAGAAAGAAAGAAAAAAAGAAAACAATTTAAGCAAAAACAAAGAAAACGAGTAAATGAACCAGCAAACAGAAAGAAACCTGAATGAAGTTACATCCCATTTCCCCTAGAACTGAAACTATGAAGCCCTCTATACTCTGTACACTAAGCAAGGGGTGGGATTTGTGCTGGTGTTCTAGGGGATGTGCTTGGAGGGCTCAGTTGGGAGGAGCTTGGTATAACAGCTCTGTTCTCCACTAGGTGGTGCTGCTTAGCTTACTAGGGTAGATCCGTGTGGTGCCTGTGTGTGTGAGAAGTGGAAATGGCTTCACCCAACCCCCTAGTCTCTGGCACAGGAACTTGACACTCTCAACGACCTGCGATCAAGCACCCATCCTTTGTCTCAGGCTTCCATCCACTCCATGCCTCAACCCTGTCCATGTCCAAGCTGTCAGCTTGCCAGGCGGCACCTCCCTCTGGAGTTTTATCTCACATGGGGTTGTGTTTCAAAACTCCACACTTTAAAGACCCCAGAGGCTTGGACCTACACTAACTCTCTGGTAGAGGGTTTTTCTCAACAGTGGCCGGGTGCTGGCTTGCCCCAGAAAGCATTCATGTGATCGCACAGCAGCAGAGGTTCAGAAATGATAGCAAATAACAATGCACGGCCAGTTCCAGGTTTCACCGCACTCTGGTGTCTTTGTCCCAATATAAGCAAACATGGCTACTCGCCAGGGTCCGCTGGGACCTTTGCCTGTGGGAAGGCCATATGGCCTCTGCCAAATGCACTCCAAGCAGGGGAACTGCTTCTCCATGAGTGGCACATAGATCCCTCAGACCCCAGTACCTGCTCCTAGGGATTCACCCTACTTCCTCCCAAGCTCTGCAGGGCACTGAGTCCCAGAACTTCAGAGTCTGCACTCCACTGTTTATAGAATCCTGGTGGTATTGAAACCCTCTCCTTTCTTCCCATCAGTGGTTATGGAGAACAGATTTCTTGTTCAGTCTCCTGCAAGTGTTTTCTCTCTTTCTCTCCAGCTGCTTTCAGGGGAGTGCTTTTCTTGCAGGATCCTGATGCACTGCACTCTCCCCCTTCTCTTTCTCTGTTCTCTTTGCAAAAAACAGCTCTTTACCCCCCACAGCTTTTCTCTCTCTCAGTTCACCTCTTTGCACCACGTACCTGCTGAGTTCTGTGGCTCAAATTATGCAGATTGTTGTGTTAATCCTCATCAATTTCCTAGGTGTTCAAAATGGTTTGGTGCTGATTTAGCTGAGTTTCAGGGACAAGACAAGCTCAGGGTGTCTATGCTGCTTTGCCATCTTAACTCCTCCCCCTTGAAAATCTGTATATGTGTATTATCATAGTGTAGTCCTCTATCTTCATCTTTATCAAGGAAATCCTAAAAAGTCATAAGCAGAGTGGAGTAAAGCAGATGTAAGCTTCATTTTGGGAAAAACTAAAGATAGGCCTAATCCACAGGCTACAAAATATTTGTAAGGGCTGCCCAAAGCAACTGAGTTCCAGGAGAACCTACCCACAGAGGAAGCGTACGAAGTTGTTGAGGGACCCATGGCCCAGAGTGGGAACCTGACACCTCAAAGGAGAAGGGTATCTCACCTTAAGTGTGATTCCGTAAATGAGAGGAGTCTAGTCAGGAAGTATATATCCCTTGTTTACTACAGCCAAAGTAGGAACTGGGTTGAGTACAGGACCCTGGAGAGCCAGGAACTGGAATGAGCCTGGCTTAAATTGAACAAAAGCCAGAAAGGAGAAAGTAGGGAGAAAAGGCACAGAGAGTTGAAGAGGCCCAATGGCAGAAGATCTCCAAAAGCACTAATGAAAAGAATACCCATTCTGAAGGTAAGGGGCCCACTCTAAAGACCTAGGTCCTTTTTTTTTTTTTTTTTTTTTTTGAAGTGGTAAGTGTGGTTATTAAGGGAAGCATGGCTGGCAGCAGTAGCCTTCCTGGACCCAGGTTGTTTTAGAGACGCATGAGAAGTGTGTCTTGTAATCATGGAGAGGCCTTATTTGCATCTGTATCTGGTGCAAAAGAGAAGAGAGCTATAGGTCTGTGTAGCCTGAAAGGGGACTGTGGACCTCTCCTTCTCTGCAGAACCTCTTGTAAATAGCTATATCAGGAAAACCTAATTCATTCAATGATGAATAATAAAAACACTCAAGGGTACTATGAGAAAAAAAGGTACAGAGGAGCACCAAAACTTACCAGTAGGTGAGTTATACTCATGGAGCAGATGAATGTTGTGATCAGACCTTTCACCATTAAATAAGAAACTTTAAAGAATCACTCATCTCCAGTATTCCAAATTTGTTTATATTTAGTTAAGATTTTGCATGTATCTTCATAAAAGAGGTAAGTTTGTAATTTTCTTTTTATCAAATTTTTGTTGCTTTTGTAAACTAGTTGGAAAGTTCTTTTTTTTTTTATTGTTTGAAAGAGTTTTAGAGTATTGATGCTATTTCTTTTTCTTTTTTCATTTTAATTTTTAATTTTATTTATTTATTTTGAGAGACACAGAGAGACAGCATGAGTGGGGAAGGGGTAGAGAGAGAGAGGGAGAGAGAGAATCTTAAGCAGGCTCCCTGCTGTCAGCACAGAGCTCGATGCAAGGCTCCATCTTATGTACTGTGAGATCATGACATGAGCTGAAATCAAGAGCCAGACACTCAACTGACTGAGCCACCTAGGCGCCTTGGTGCTATTTCTTTCTTAAATATCTGTAAGAATTCAACAGTAAGGCATCTGGGCCAGGAGTTGTCTAGAGGTTTTTAAATAATAGATTCATTAAAAAAATTAATGTAATATAAGACTGTTGTGATTTTCTGTTTCTTCTGGTATTTCTTTTATGGTGTTTGTCAAGGATACTATCCACTTAATGTTGTCAAGTTTATTAGCCTAAGGTCCATTATAGCATATATCTTCATTTTTCTTCATGTTTATAAGAACTCTGTTGTGTACTATTTTCCATTCCTTGGTATTTGTGTTTTCTTCCCTTACTAGTCTTGCCTTATTAATGTTTTTAAAGAACCATCTTTTGGATTTTGCTGATTTAGTGTATATTCTTGACTTAAAAAAATAAAGACATAATAGGGATAGTTGGGTATTTCAGTAAAATGACAAAATAAACCTATTGTAGCACAGGTGGCAGCACGATGCATAGTAGAAAGACACTTAGAGTTAGCATTTAAAGACAGGAATAAGATTAAACTCTAACCAATATAGTAATTGCTATAACTGACACAGATATTAGAGGCATAAGGATTAGAAAAAAGAAAGTAAAAGTAGCATTAATAGGAGAGGATATGTCTGGAAAACTCCAGAAAATGAACTGATAAATTATTATATACAGTAAGAGAAGCCAGTGAAATAATGATATAATGCTAACATACAGAAATTACTAGGTTTCATATTTCAGTAAACCCCTTGAAACATAAAAAAGAAGAAAAGACTCTATAAAAAATAACACAAAATAGAAAATATTTAGGATTTATATGGGTATAAGGTATAAGGTGTACATTATGCCTTATAAAGTATGAGACTTCCACAAATTATACTTTAAAAAACTGAAAGACACAAATACTCCTTTAAATGGAAATATTATCTCATGTTTTTGGATAGGCAGGTTCAACAAAATAAAGATATTAAGTTCCTTACGTTGTTGTTTATAAATGTAATGTTTAATTTTCCAGTTAAGATATAATTTTAAAAAGTTAGATAAGTGGATTCTAAAGTTCATATGGAAAAAAGTAGAATCAGAAAAGATTGAAAAAGAAGCAGCATAAAGTAGGGTTAACCTATCAGAAATTAAAATATTTAAACATATCTCACCGACGGTGAGAAAAGTCAGTAAAGGATGCGGAGACTGATAGCTGCATAGCCATGTTAAAACCAACAAATAAAGTTGAATCCATACATCACACCATACTTCATGATAAATTCCAAATGAATAAAAGATTTAAAATTTTAAAATAAAACCATGAAAATTTAGGGGGGGAAACATGGGAAAATTCCATTTACCTTGATGTGAGGATGGGTCTCGCTAACAGTGACTGTGTATCTGGAGCTCATAAAAGAAATAATCTATATTTTAAAAATAATTACTAATATAAGAAGAGCCTTAGACAAGCTCATAAAATACCCATATTGTAGGGGAGGGGTGCAGTTAGTCTCCTATAAAGAGTTAACTAGAAATTGTTAGAAAATAAGACCAGTAACCCAACAGGTAATTTGATCAGGCATATAAATAGATAACCAAAAAAAAAAAAAAGGCAGCGCAAATGGTTCTTTATGATTCAAAAAGATTTCTACTCATTCTTTATAAGAGAAAAGCCAGTTAACCGGACAGAATTATTTTTCACCTCTCCAGTGAGTTAAAAAAAAAAAAAAAAAAAGTTTAATAACATACTCTGTTGGAGAAAGTGTGGGAAAACAGGGAAAGTACACTGTTAGTGAAGCTTAAATGGATATAACACCTACAGAATTTAGCAATGTTTATAACACTGTTTATAATAATTACAATTGTATTTTAAAAATTGCATATAATAAAATTACGTAAAGTTTCTTTTTGAAATTATAAATTTGGGGAGAAAATCACTTAAGGACTCCTAAGAAGAGAACATTTAAAATAATATAGCATTTCCTCAAGTTTTATTTCAATTAATTTTAATTTTTATTTTTTTAATGTTTATCTACTTAGAGAGAGAGAGAGAGAGAGTGTGTGTGTGTGTGTGTGTGTGTGTGTGTGTGTGTGTGAGTGAGTGCAAGCTGGGGAGGAACAGAGAGAGGGGGAGAGAGAATCCCAAACTGGCTCAGTGCCTAGCCCAATGCAGGGCTCAGTCTCACAACCATGAGATCATGACCTGAGTCGAAATCAAAATTTGGATGCTTAACCGACTGAGCCATCCAGGCACCCCTCAATTCATAAAATAAATACTCTGAAATGGTTTTTTCTTTGTATAGCCTGAACCACCAAAGAAACCATCTAATTGGAGAAGAAAACACGAAGAATTCATTGCCACCATAAGAGCAGCTAAAGGCCTTGATCAGGCACTTAAAGAGGGTGGAAAACTTCCTCCTCCTCCTCCACCTTCTTATGATCCTGGTATGTGGAATTTTGTTGACAGAAATGTTCATATGGAAAGAAAATACTAATCGAATTTTTATAATTTTAAGTTCTTATTAAAGTTAATTTATAATTATAGAACTTGATGAGGCATAAGCTTTAAAAGTTTAACTGTAAAATAATGCTGATTTTTCCAGACATTTAGGCTTATAAAGACACATCAGTATCGAACATAGAAATTCATTATTTTCTTTATTTCAATACTCTTATTTAAACATAAAGCATTATAATATCATTTGAAACATTATTATAGTAACTTTCAAATGTTGATATGCCAGGAAATATTTGAAGATGCTCACTATCAATTGAAATGTAGTCATCTGGTAAGATTCACATTGTTTTGTTGCCTGATATCTTTGGTATCTTCTTATCTGGGAAGGAAAAAAAAAAGTACTATTGTTTCAAAATGGTACATTTTCATATAGGGAAACCACCATAAAAATTTATTTACCTAAATTGTGCCTTAAATTCACATATTACTATATTTTCTTCATTAGGTAGATAAAAGTTGCTTATCTGTTATTACCAAAAGTAAGGTAAGGTGCTGGCAACTTCTATAAGATATTGAGATACTGAAGGATTTGAAATAACACAATTGACACTTTGACATTGGCTGTTAGAGTACTCTGAAGAGGTAGTTATTTTAGTATAACAAGTTAGCTGCATTAAATTGTGTTAGTATTCTTACTGAGATTTATTTCTCAGTAAAGAAAAGTCTTATAAAGTAAGTCAGGGGGATGAAAAGTACAGCATAGGGAAAAGAATCATAATGCTGTAATTACAATTATAGTGACAGATGATAACTACACTTACTGTGGTGTCAATTGAGTAATGTATAGAATTGTGGAATCACTGTTGTTGTACACCTGAAACCAATGTAACATTGTATGTCAGTTATACTTCAGTATTAAGATTTTTTTAAAAAAGAAGTCCTTTAGAAAACCTAGATACGATCATTTTTAACATTTTGTTGTAGTGGAGAGGTTAACTATTTCTATAAAGGGCCAGATCATATTGTAATGAGGTATATTTTTATCTCTTTCATCTGTTGGGACTTCTAAGAGAAAACTGTGTAAAGTCAATCAAACTATTTCTTGATAGTTTTACTCTACTATTATCATTTTTTTTTTAAGTGAGAGTTCTATCAAGGAAGAAGGGCAGAGGGAGGGACAGAGAGACGGAGAGAGAGAGGGAGAGAGAATCTCAGGCAGGCTTCATGCTTAGCATGGAGCCTGATATGGGGCTCTATCTCACGACCTTGGGATCATGACCTGATCTAAAATCAATAGTTCACGAGTTGGACACTCAACCAACTGAGCCACCCAGGTGCCCCAACAATTTTACTCTAACTGAAATGAAAAATTTTAACAGATGAGCCCAAATTTTAAAATTTATTTTTAGTGTAATGTGTTATTACTGCTTAACTTAGTCTCCAGTATAAAAATATGTATATATGATGAAAATATAAGATATATTATAAAGGCAAAGTATTTTTTCCTCTACTTATTCATTCTTTTGTACTAAGGATTTATGTTTTAGGTTTTGTTCCCCTCAAATAAGATTCTAAGCTGGGAGGAAATCAGAATTTACCATATACTAGCAGACTTTTTTCTTAAATGTCTTTACCAAGTTTAATGGTCAGGTTGGTGATTATAAGGAAATGACAAGTTTTGCTTATCAGTTTGCTTTTGTTACACATCTTGAATTACTCTCCACAAAAACTTATAGTTCTTTTTGTTTCACTTTAAGAATTATGTTATTTGTTTCTTTTTTCTGTTTTAGATTATATTCAGTGCCCATATTGCCAGAGGAGATTTAATGAAAATGCCGCTGATAGACATATTAATTTCTGTAAAGAACAAGCAGCACGTATTAGTAATAAAGGCAAATTTTCTACTGATACCAAAGGAAAGGCGACTTCTCGGACACAGGTGAAATGCTCAATTATTTCTACAAATCAATGAGAAAATAACTCAGTTTTATAATTTTTTGCATATGTTTTACAGAACATTTGACTATAGTTTTCTCACCTGCTACTGTTCGGGGACTTAGTAAAAAATTTGAATGTTTAATTGATAACAAGTAATTAAAATTATTAATATTAAATGAACTTGAGCTTATACAGATTTGAAAATACACAGGTTGATAAAGGTTTAAAGAAAAGGTAAGAAAACTAGTTAAAAAGTAGGTGAAGCATACTAGGTGAAACAAGAGAGGTTAGGAGTGAGAAAATGGCAGTAAAAATCCACATTTTAATCATGTAAGTACCGAATGTTTCCTTGTTATATGTGACCATACACATGGGAGAGTTAAGTCCTGGGGTCAAGACCTACTGCTACTTCAGAACTTTCAGGCAAGTAACATTTCATGTAGAAGAGCCTTTTTTTCTTCATCTGTGAGGTAATCTATGTGATTTTTGTGAGAAGCAAATGAAATGGAGTATGTGAAAGCAATTCTAGAGCCATAAACCATGGAAAGATTTTGTTATATGAAATGTTACAGGACTGTTGTTTTTCATTAAGCATATTGTGACAAAGAAACTTTGATAATGTCATACTTTTAAGCAAATTTCATTTTTCACAAAGCTTTCATTTACAGTTTATGTATTTATTACTATATCTTCATGCATAAAACATCAACATTTGGTTTGGAACTGAAAAGCCTATTAACTAATTTTGAATCATTTTGTTTACTTTTCTCAGTATCACTGACAAGAAAGTGGAAAGCACATCAGCTATTAATAATCATAAAAATATCAATAACCCTCTTTACACCCTATCCAAATGCTGCCTTTATTTAAATATATAAACTACTTTTCTATATTTATTTAAATCTTTCTACAAGATTGCTCTGTGGAGCCTGGGTGGCTCAGTTGGTTGGGCATTCGACTCTTGATGTTGGCACGAGTCTTGGTCTTAGGTTCAGGAGGTCAAGCCCCATGTTGGACTCTGCTCTGGGAGTAGAACCTACTTAAGGAAAAATAAATACAAGATTTCTCTCAGAATGTACTATAACTTCTGAAAATTATTTGTTTTCAAAATATCACATTTGTCTTCCTTCTTTATATGTCTACATAGGTAGCTTTACTCTAACATGTATGTAAAATATCAGTCTATTTTCTTGTCCTTCTTTTCCATTTCAAATTTCTCCTTCCATCTGTTACCCTCACAATTCTTCCTATGCAGTTATGATTCACAGCCTAGAAAACAGATCTTTTATTTTCACTTCTCTCCTCTCCCTGCTAGTACTGTAAATTTAGCAGACAGTAAATAATCATGAAATTCATTTTGTTTGTTACTTAGGAATAAACTATTGGATTAAAAGATGCCATTACAATGGGGAGTCTTCTTGAGAAGATACATATTGAAGTTCTGTTAATATTATTAAAAATAGAACATTTCATTATTATTATCATCATGTGGGGAAAAAACAGCCAAGAAAATTCATTTTGAAGAATTTCCAGAACATATGTCTTAACAACATTTATCTTTTACTTAAAATACTTAAGATTATTAATATGATTTTTTTCTTTAATCATAACAATCAGAAAAAGAAATAGAAATAGAATAGACTGAACGTGTTCCAACAACCTGGAGCCAAATGATTATAAGTGTAAAATCTAGTTCCCACATTAAACTGTATCAATTCTGATTCTATGCCCAGTCCTAAATAGTCATTTCAATGTCACCCCATATTTTCTCATCTTTATTCATTCAAGAAATATTTATTGAGTTCCCTCTCTGAACCAGACACTTTATCAGGTACCTGGTCCTCATTAGTAAACTAAATAGAATACTTTCCCTAAAGATGCCTAAAATGAATTCTTATCATATTTAGTAACTATAATCTGGCCTAATTACAGCCAGCTCACTTTTTGACTGTGATCTGATCAAAATAATGAATAAAATACAATGAAGATCAATTTCTAATAGGTAAAAACAAGAAGCTTTCCCAGTTAGTTAAATTTCCATCTTTCTTCTTCATTAGGAATTTTAGCAAATTCTGCGGTGGCATTCAACTTACTTATTTATGTATTTATTTAATAATGTTTATTTTTGAGAGAGAGAGCATGAGCAGATGAGGGGCAGAGAGAGAGAAAGAGACACAGAATCCGAAGCAGGCTTCTCTGCACAGAGCCCGATATGGGGTTGGAACTCATGAACTGCAAGATGCTTAACTTACTGAGCCACCCAGGTGCCTGATCAGGCACTATGCCCGATCTTCCCCACCCTCCATAATCTAAACCTTCCATCCCTCCCAATCAGCTTAGTTCCCTACATGCTGTAAAATCTACCCCAATTTGGGTAGATTGGTTTCCTCCACATTTGCATCTATAAAATGGGGATAATATGTACCTTGTAACAGTTATCAAGAGCATTCAATGCAATAATGCCTATAGCTGTAGTTTCTTCTTTGACTCATAGTTTATCCAATGTGAGTCATTTACTTCCAGATCTTTGGTGTTCCTCTAGATGTTTATTGCTGTTTTTTGGAGTTTTTTTGAGTTAATTCTCTTATCGTCTGAGAACATATGTGGTAAGATTTTTATCTTACTGAGATTTGTTTTATTGCCTAGCATGTGGTCTCTTTGGTGAATGTTTCAACAGTCTTTCAGCTATGATTGTGACTTTTTCAGTATCATTAATTTGCCAGTTTTTGCTTCAAATATTTTGAATCCTGACAGCTTCAAACTGTTGGTTGAAGTATTTAGGCATTTACAGTCAATATATTTATTGATATGTTTGTGGTGAAGTCAGCCATGTTGCTGTTTGTTTTCTATTTTTGTCTTTTTAAAAATATTTTTTAAAGTTTGTTTATTTATTTATTTATTTAGAGAGAGAGACAGAGAGTGCCAGCAAGGGAGGACAGAAAGAGAGAGGGAGAGAGAGAGAATCCCAAGCAGGCTCAGTTCAAAGCCTGGTGCAAGGCTTGAACCCACAAACTGTGAGATCATGACCTGAGCCAAAACCAAGAGTTAGATGCTTAAACTACAGAGCCACCCAGGTGCCCCCCACCCCCCGCTTTTTTTTTTTAATTCTTCTGGTACTTCTTCCTTGCCTCTTTTGTCTTAGTAAAAGACATTTTATTTTCCCTATTGGCTTTTAAGCTATAAATCTTCATATTTTTAAATGGTTACTCTAAGAATAACAAAATACATTTTTAACTTATCTATATCTATGGATATTTTCATATACTTCTCACCAGTCTTAGTGTTATTGTTATATATATGTAACTCTATAACCTTATAAGCCTATCGATATTTCTGATATGTGCTGTATTACAGTGTTATACTTACACTTCTAAAAGTCATCTGTCTTTTAAAGAAATTAGGAAAAGAAAATAAAGTCATTTATATACATATATACACAAATAATTGTTGACTCACGCATATATTTTGTTTTCCTTCTGCCGCCGCCACCTCCTCGCATACATATGTGTTTAACTTACATATTACTTACTCACATATTATCATTTTCAGATTTCTTCTTGTAATCTCAGTTGCCATATTATGTCATTTTCTTTCAACCTGAAGAAGCTTCTTGAGCCTTCCAAGAGTGCACATGTACTAGCAAGGAATTTTTGGTTTCACTTTTCTGAAAGAATGCCTGTATTTTGGCTTCAATTCTCTGTTGAGATTCTCTGTGTACTCATTCACTATTACCTTATTTTCCTTTCGTTCTTGTATATATATTCCTTTACTTCTTGAACGTATTTGTAAGTAACTGTTTTGAAGGTCTTTTTAACTGCTAAATTTAATGCACCTGTTTCCATATAGGTCCATTTTTGTTGACTATTTTTGCCAAATAAAAATGGGTCAAGCTTTTCTCTTTCCTTTTTCCTTTTCTCTCATTGCTGCCCCTTTCCCTTCCCTGCTCCTGTTCCTTTCCTGCAGTTACATCCAGAATACACGGTTACCAGTTTTCGAGAACTACTTGTAGATGGTTTCCAGTTTCTTAGAAATCTTTTTGTTTTATATTATGTATCTAATTATTGTGATATCATGTGATATTAATAGATATGTTCTTGTTTTTTCATTTATGGCTTCAATTATGTACATAATTATTATTGATCATTTGGTGCTTATTGCCCTTAAAAATTATTCATGACAGATGTTAATGTGAAGAGCCTTTTTATTTGTTTCTTACATATATCTAAGACTACTGCCACTCTGAAAGGCACTTTAAATTATTGGCTTTAGTTTGCCTGACCACCTTGTAATGCAGATTTATACAGCAAATCCATATGATGGCCAGACTTGTTATAATCTCAAAAGGTGTTGGCCAGCAGTTTTTTTTTTCTTTTTATCTGTCATCCTGTGCTTATAAAGTGATTTTTTTATACTTTCCAGAGCATTTTTACTTTTTAGTTGAAAGGTCAATCCAAATAGTGCCTTCTATTTTATCAAAAATGTATGCCTTCTGTTTTTTAAGCTCTTTCCAATTTCAAGAAAAAGTCTTTATAAATAAACATAAATATTTCACTAAAGAAATTTATATTTGTGATCTATGTAAAAAAACACAAAATAATAAAATTACAAGTGCATATTTAATGGAGAGAAATATGTATTAAATATAACTGTATAAAAATAAAGTGGTTTTGTTTTTTTGTTTTTCTGATGACTGAAATGGATTTATATAAAATGATTGATAGCTAGAGTCATCCTGAAAACTTTTATTATACTGGTGGAATTTCACCCAGCCATAGAATAGAGGAAATACAGTTCAGTAAGGAAGAAGTCAGATTACCTAGGTCAGAGGAACAGCAAGTTACTGAGAGGCAGGTCAATACATTTTAAACATGGCATTCAGAATAGTATGAGGCTTCAGTAAAGAAACTAACTTGACTAGTTTCAGTCAAAAGTAATAGGAAATGTTATAGGAGATAAATAAGATTAGGCTAGATTCTGGATATCTCAGACAAAACCTTGACAAAAAAATTGGGTGAAACAGTAGGAGGCTTAATATAGAGAGGGGGGAAAAACAAAGCACCTTTTGAAATAAATATTTTTTTCTAGTTGTAAACCATTAATTTTTAATATGTACATAAAAATAGTTAGTCCTCAGTATGTAATGGTACCAGGGCTCTTCCCACCAGTGTCCAGTCTAAAGATGTGACTTCTCTGTATGTCATATGCTGTACCAGCTCCATTTGTCTATGCTAATTGTTTTGTTCTTTTTTTGGTAGCTCACAGAATATGAGTGGCTCACCAATCCTGTTTCTTAATTCAATTTTATTGAGCCTATTTTTAGTAGACATGCCTCATATTTTAACAGGTCTTTGTTAGGGCTTGTTTTCCATATTGTTGTTAGCTTTAAAATCTTTCCTAATGCCTTCACTGGTATTTTAGTGGGAGAGACTGATATTAATCAGATGCCCTTTTAAAAACCGGAAACACCTCTTAGGTTTTGAGAGAAACAGTATCTTTATATGACTTAACTCCAAAGGGTCCTTGTCATTTGTTCATTTGAGAGACAGTTATTAAAGGTTTTTCAGGTGTCAAGTACTTAAAAAATTTTAGTCTCTTGCATAGTAGTGCCAAATGTGTGTGTGTGTGTGTGTGTGTGTGTGTGTATGTGTGTGTGTTTGGCAGGGGGGAGGAAAGAGAAACCTCCTTTTATCAAGATTTATTTTCCTTAAAACGTCGCATACTAAATTTTGAAGGGTGTAATGTTTGACTTTAAAATTTATGTTTAGCCAGCAGTTTTTAGTAGCAGTACTTCTTAATTTTTATACTGATTGTTATAAAATATCATTTGATTTTTCTTTTTGATTTTTGAAAATTAGGTTTAAAACTAGTTTTTCGTGTGAAGTCCTAAGCAGTCTAAATATGCATTGGGCTAAATCTCAAGTATAGTAACCACTTTATAGTTGAAGCATAGAGCTAGAACTGAAGTGCCATGAGTCTTATTAATTCCTGTTCTATGATTAAGTTGGGGTGTTACTTTGGGCAAGTTCATTTCATTATATTGGAGCAGGTGGTCAATAAGATACTTTAATATTCAATAACAGCAAAATTTGGCTCAGGTAAGAGACAGTAAAATAAAATATCTCTCTAGAGAGTGGAGAAAAAAATAAGTACCCTATCTTTTCTCAGTCCATATTCTATTCATCTAATGTCTGGTGAGCATAGTGAAGCCAAATTAGCTCTTTCTCTTTACATTCAGGAAATCCATAAAGCAACTATTGTTAAAACTTATCCAGGGGCACCTGGCTGGCTTAGTCGGTTAAGCGTCCGACTTTCGCTTAGGTCATGATCTCGCGGTTCGTGGGTTTGAGCCCCGTGTCGGGCTCTGTGCTGACTGCCAGCTCAGAGCCTGGAGCCTGTTTCAGTCTGTGACTCCCTCTCTCTCTGACCCTCCCCTGCTCACGCTGTCTCTCTCTCTCTCTCCTAGAAATAAATAAAAAACATCAAAAAAAAAAAAAACTTATCCAAACTTATTTGCATTCTTACAAGTTATTATCAGTAGGAAATATGGCTGAATTTTGTATATGAAATCTAAAACCATGCCCAGGAACATGTAACAATTTTGACCTTTAAAGCTGCACTATGAAGTGAGCATCATAGGATGTTTCCAAGTTTTTCTATTAATACTTGCTTGGCTTTTAAAATCTTAACAGCGAAGAAATTTTTTCCATCTGGCCATTTTTCCCCCCCTGTTAACTGAGCAGAGCATAGCTGCTCTTAGTTTATTTCAGCAGTGGAACATCTGAGCCAAACTTTTAGTTTAGTATTTGGGGAAACCTCTCTCTGAGATGATGTATTATAATCTATATATTCTCAATTTGGGGAATTCAGTAGCTAATAAAAATTTGCTCATTTAAGGGTATGGGAACTTTTGAAATGCTCGTTTACAGTCTATAATCAAAAAATGTTGATAAAATATTTTATTTTCATTATTTTAGTATAAGCCGCCTGCACTTAAAAAGTCAAGTTCTCCTGGAACTGTATCACCAGGATCTTCACGATTACCACAGCCAAGTGGCACTAGCAAAACTGTTGTAGGTAATGAGCTCAATAAAATAATTTGGTTGTGGGTTTTTTTGTTGTTTTGTTTTTTGTTTTGTTTTGGTAGAGATGGAATTGAAGAGAGTGTTCTGTTCTGGATTATTAAAATAGATTTATAATTTGGAAGAGATGTGGAGGATAAGTAATTCTTTCTGGGTAAAAATAAAGTCACTTTCAAAAACTTCTACTTAGGATGTTTTGTAGTACATTTTTTTTCTACCTTAAATATCTGGCCTTAATATTTTTACTGGTATATAACCTGTCAGAGTTGTTAACCAAATTTCTTTTCTTGATTCTTTAACCACAGTATTTTTCTCTCATTTCTATATATACTGCTCTAAACTTGACAGTTATCTTAATAAACACGTGTTTAATGGTTTAATGAAGATATTGATTAACTGTAGTATACCTTTATATGTAAATTGTAATAAAGAAATGTGGACATTGTAAATGAAGGATGCTCTATGTTCTCTGAAATTTCATTTGAAAAAAACATTTTTTAGTTGATAACTTGTTTTGATTTATTGCCACAAAGATTTATCACCACTAAAGCATCGTTTTGCTTGTCAGATTACCCGTTTCATGTGATTTTTCTTTTTCAGTCTGTTGTTAAAATTAGTACCTTTTTTATTATAAGGTGTGCCTTCAGGTAAAGTGCCCTCAGTTAGCAGCTCTTTGGGAAACAAACTTCAGACCTTATCTCCATCCCATAAAGGGATAGCAGCTCCTCATGTAGGGTAAGTCTGTTTGAATTTAATTGATTAGTGGTGTGTGTGTGTGTGTGTACACATATATATGTATATAAATAATGCTAACGTTTTATTTTGTTTAGGTAATTGGTTTTTTTATTAGCCTTGATTTTCTTTCTAAATTTCATTTGTCTTTTAACATATTGCTGGTCAGGGACACATACACTACTGTTCAGTGTCTAAAATATCCATTTTGGAAAAAATTCTAGTGGACTATGTCAAGAGCCCAAAAACACATTGATATTTTCAGTTGAATAATTTTACTTCTGGGAATCTAGTCTAAAGAAATCATTAGAAATACAGAAGATTTTTGTAATAACCAATTTTTATTAAAAATTATGTATCAGGCACTGTGCTAGATGTTTTTCACATATTTTTATTAAAACCACTCCACCATAGGATGAGGGGATCAGAGAAGCAAAGTAATGTGCTCGAAGCCACACAGCTATTAAGAAGTGAAAGCAGGATACCAGTTGGAGTCTGGGAAAAATGAAATCAAACCACCTAAATTTCTAGCTTTGTTTGAATAGAAAATTACAAAAAGTAGGCATATTATGCAACCATAAAATGTATATAAATTTTAAGGAGATGATTCTACTGTTACAGGAGAAGAATGTAGGACATAAGCTCCATGTATACTATGATAGAAGCTATAAAAATGTATGTAGACAAAATATGCTGAAATGTTAACAGTGGATGATTATTTTCTATTTATTTAATACTTTTAAAATACGTTTTATCTTTCTACAGTTTTATATACATGGGCTTTAAGAAAGTAGCATAATTAAGCTCTCCTCAGTTATTTTAATGTGGGAAAATTCTGTTGGTAACACCAGAGATGTTAAAAATCCTCCTATCTCAGTAGAAACTTGTTTCTCCTTCCATTTGGATAAATCAGAAAATCAAGGTTACCATGTAATCATTAGAATGAGAGCTTATGTCTATACAGACACTAGTGAAGTTGATTTAGGAAATATAACACACATATTTTCAGATATGGGTTATCACCTTTGTTTTAATGTAGGAAACATATATAGGGTTATCTATAAAGTAAAAATAACTGTCTTTTCCCCCCTAATTTGGACTACATATAAAACACAAAATCTAAAATAAGTTAATGTAAGTATCATTATAGAAAAAGAAAAAGTCAGCTAACAAGATCTGATTAGTTAAATGTATTTTATTCTTTTTGTTATGCTTCCAGAAAGAAGACACAGGCTATCCTTAAGAAAGAGACAGGTTATCAGTAGAACAGCTATTTAAAAGTAGAAAGTTCTCATCTTTTGGTTGTAAAAAATGATTTATTATAGTTTTTTTAGTTTCTCTATTGAGTTCACTCATACTTTTTAATTAAAGTGTAGACAGGAATACATATATATGTTTTAACTTTCACAAAGCCTCTTTACAATATCACAGGAATGCCTTTCATGTTGTGTTATAGTTTTATTTACAGTTGTCTATGAATTAAAAGCTGATATTTTTTAGTGCCTTTCCTCACTACAGGTAATTTTATCAGTTGGCAATATTGAGTTGTCCTGACACCCTACCCTGTATTCTTAAGGGCATGTTAAGCTGGCTGGTGTAATGAAAAGGGGCACTGACTTTGGATTAGAAGATCAAGCTTCTAGATTCTACTTTGCCACTAAATAGCCATATGACTTTATGCATACCTCCTCTGTCCCACTCAACTGATCTAAGAAAATCTGATCAACATTTATATAATCCCTAGGAGAAAATGCGTTTTTACTAACAAGCCAAGACTTTGAGCAAAGTAATTTTATAAATTATGCAGTGCTTACAATGCCATGAAGATTTAAAATTTCGGATTGTCTCACATGGTATGTCTCACTGTCAAACATAACTGTGTAAATCTCAGTTGTTCATTTTATATATAGTCCTTACATCTTAGAAGAATGTTTCCAACTTCTGCCAAGAGCTTTGGTGTTTGCTTGTGGCCAGTATATTACCATAATAACTGGAACGTTACTATATTAAGTAGAACCATTCATGACTATTTGTGTAGTGGCAGAGTTCAGTGTTTTTATTTTTTGGAATTATTAAGTGTATTCTTATTTATTAATTATATTGATAACGTATTTTTCCTTTGCTAGATTGTAAGCTCTCTAATAGGCCAAAGCTCCATGTATCTGCCTTGCTTACAAATGTAACTATAAAATGTAGTATAATGCCTGGCATATAGACCCATAGTAAATAAAAACAAAAAAAATGAAATAAATTAAATCTCTCATTTGTTAACCTATTGGCACATTATAGATCATAGTTCTAATACTATTGGGGTAATTACTTGAAGTTTGTATAGCAGTCATTATTTCCATTGACAAAGATTCAAGATTGAGTAACGGTAGAATTAAGACCTCTGGTTAGCTGTAATGTTCAAGAAATTGAACACTTTCTGAGGTTAATGAAACAGTCATTTCAGTAGCTTGGGGTTGTTTAAATAAGCCTTGTGTATATAATCTTGATTGCAAGCAGCTTTAGTCGTGCATAACAGTGATGTGTAATATTTAGTGTTTACTGCAGAAAAATTTATCATGAAAAATTCTCATATTTGGTAATTAACTTCTAGATAACTTGTGGGTCAGCCAATTTTATCAGATTTCTTTTAAAGCAAAAAATACCCTCAATGGTATTATGCTAAGTGAAATAGGCAGAGAAAGACAGATACCATATGTATTCACTCATATGTGGAACAAGAGAAACTTAACAGAGGACCATAAGGGAAGTGAAGGGGGGAAAATAGTTAAGGAGAAGAAGGGAGACAAAGGGTTGATGGGGGGTTGGGGAGAAGAGAAAATGGGTGATGAGCATGGAGGAGGGCACTAGTTGGGATGAGCACTGGGTATTATATGGAAACCAATTTGACAATAAACTATATATTTTTTTAAAACGATGAATTAGGGGCGCCTGGTTGGCTCAGTCAGTTAAGTGTCCAACTTCGGCTCAGGTCATGATCTCACGGTTCGTGGGTTAGAGCCCTGCATCGGGCTTTGTGCTGACAGCCAGCTCAGAGCCTGGAGCCTGTTTCAGATTCTGTATCTCCCTCTCTCTCTGATCCTACCCTGCTCATGCTGTCTGTCTGTCTGTCTCTCAGAAATAAATAAAACATTAAAAAAATTTTTTAATAAAAATTTTAAAAAATTTAAAAAGATGAATTAAAAAAATACTCTCAATGGAAAAATGTTTCTTTATTGTGAAAGATGACTATCTTTAATCCCAGGAAATTTTAGAAGTATGATGAAACGCAAAGCTTTTAAATAAATATTGCCACATATGAATTGTGTCACAGAATTTACATAGTCATGCCTTGAGGTTTGTGCTTTCATAGTGCTAATTACCAGCTTAAATGGATATTTTAGCTGAAAATTTTCAATAGTTAAAATAATCAAATATCGGGGCGCCTAGGTGGCTCAGTCAGTTAGGTATCCGGCTTCGGCTTAGGTCATGATCTCATGGTTCGTGGGTTCCAGCGCCGAGTCAGGCTCTGTGCTGACAGCTAGCCCAGAGCCTGGAGCCTGTTTCGGATTCTGTGTCTCCCTTTCTATCTAACCCTTCCCTGCTCACGCTGTCTCTCTCTCTCTCAGAAATGAATTTTAAAAAAATCAAATATCAGCGATTTACTTCTGTTCAGTTTCTGTGAAAAACAGACATTTACTTTGGAGATAGGCTATTATAGATGAAGTGAAACTAGAGCAACAGAATGCATATAAGGAGCATTTCTTAATAAACTGAATTTGGTTTCTTGTACTTTAATTGTATTGATAAAAGTAAGAAACTGATAACTGATTTTTAAGTACATTTTTGTAGAAGTGGAAATAGGCCTTTCTCAAAAGCCATACTTTTTATATGTATGAACTGATTTTGTGTAGAACCCTGTTTAAATTTTTAAGAACTTCTGTCATTTATTATTAATCAAACATGCCTTAAAAAAAAACTAGAATTGCAGAGTTTGGCTTCTTATATGGACAACAATGATTGAGGCTATTGGTTTAGGGAAGCTAACTTTGCCATATGTATAGGATTTGATGAGTTTAGGATCAAAAATAGAAGTATAACACTTCAAAACTTTGAGTGCCTCAGAACATCATAACTTTTGTGGTCTGCAAAGACACAAAATGCAAACTGGTAATTTTTTTCCCAATATTCTTTCAGATGTCACTTTTTTATTATACCTACTCTGCTTACTGTAGTCTAAAAGACTGAGTGGTTTACATGTTTCTTGGGTAATTCACTCTCATGATATCAACAATAAACAAGGACCTTCCCAAGGTCAGGGTTTATTTCAAATTAAAACCTATTTCAATAGGTTGATATCATTGCCAAATATTTCTTAAAATGTGAATTCATACTCAGCTATGAATATTTTGAAAGCTTGCCAAAGTATTATTCCTTTTTAGGTACCCTACTTATATTGTGGCAGTTATATGCAACTACAGTTAGTAATTTTTAATTAAAAAGTCCTGTTCAAGGGGCGCCTGGGTGGCTTAGTTGGTTAAGCGTCCGACTTTCGCTTAGGTCATGATCTCACGGTTCGTGAGTTCGAGCCCCGCATCGGGCTCTGTGCTGAGAGAGAGCTCCAGCTCAGAGCCTGGAGCCTGTTTCAGTCTGTGACTCCCTCTCTCTCTGACCCTCCCCTGCTCACGCTGTCTCTCTCTCTCCTAGAAATAAACATAAAAAAAAAAAAAAAAAGAAGTGGGAAATAGAAAGATTAGCCCAGAATGGAAAATGGGGTGTGCGGGCCTACAGAGATGAGGGGCGAATAGTGCAAGGTGGAGCAAAAGTAAGTGGGACAGTGTACTCAGATCATTGAATTCTGGTTGCACTGAGCAACGGGGGTGAGGAGTTGAAGCAGAAATAGGAATTAGGACTGAAGAGCTTCCGGAATACGGGGGGCTCAGTCAGTCAAGCGTCTGACTCTGGATCTCAGCTCACATCATGATCTCATTGTTCATGAGATCGTGCCTCACACC